CGCGAAGTCACCCAGTTGCCATTGTATTCACCAGTACGACTGGACGTGCTGGATTTGATTTTCCAAATTGTGGTTCTTACTACTCGAATGTTTAATCGCATCCTTGACCGTAATGAACGTGTTTAAATTTGCATGTTTGTGCGAAATGACTGTTGCCCTGTGTGTGCGCTGGAATTGTTAGAAGTGACGCGTTATTTGGATTTCAGCGAGCATGTTCTGTTGCTACAATTCTCTGGTCTGCGTTCCTCCACCATCCAAGGCCTTCTACCCACCAAATGTAAGTTTAAATTTACTGCGTTCAATTCGTGTCGTCATTTCCGGAAACAGACCACAGTTTCCTGTTATATCTTGCTCTGTTCTACGTCGTAGTCGATTCGTAACAGCGTTCTTAAAATCATTATTCAAGCTACAGTATTGCCAACATAATATTTCATAACAGCTGAGCGACTACAAGGTTTGCAAGAAGGTTTTTTTTGCGTTAATTTGATTGGTTTTGTAGATGTATTCGTTTGTTTTCACAGAACAGCAAATTGTGTTGTTGAAAATGTAATTATCGCAGCTTTACCTGAGAAATGAAACTTTTCATTAACACTGACGATGCTAAGAACGAGATATATCGCTCTGAAATTTGGCTTCGATGTTTCGCGTTAGAAGAAACTTCTACCACATTGCACATTTTCGCATTTTTTATGGTCGTAAGTTGTCAAGGTATATCTTATCTAAATCTCTTCGTAATAGTTTTAATCCGGACACTCTGTATATGTGAATACGTAAATCGCTTTAAGCCTGTAGTGGCAACTGTTACACCGGTGTTGTACGAATCTCGGGCTTTAAGTTGTATTTCATTGTCATGCAGACAAAGTTTGTTTCCTCGTTTATGATGAAGATTCACGGCTAATAATACGACGTGTTCCTTTGCACCACATGGTCATTGGAACACGCGGTATTTTCGAGTTTGTTATGCCATCCATATAGTTGGCAGTAAAACTGAAAACTTCAAAGTGCTGTATCCATTTGCTTACGTCATGTGTAATAAAGTAACTACTGCTGGAATCTAACAGCTGTCAGCGCGTTACCATTAAAGTTTGGACAGAGCTATGATGTCGTTTTCGTTCTTGGTCTGTCCGATCACTGGCGAATTCTCTGTTAACGTTTTTGGAATTTTTTTTTTTAAATGAACTGAACTTACACTAACATGAGGGCGAAATATAAATTGTATTTGCCGAAGTTTAGTGAGCTGATATAGTTATGTTACATGTATCATACTTATTTTGTATTGTCAAAAGTCCCCCCCCCCCCCCCCCAGACGAGAAAACTGTAATAGTTGTCAGATATTACTGAAGATGGAAGTAGAAATACTCTTCGAAACCATGAATTACAACGCCTTTGTTACATTGAAAGTAGTCTCTGTCTTTCGGGATATTGCCCAGTGCAGTTTCTTAGAAATTGATAGACGTTTTAGAGGCCCAGATGATGGAGATAGAACCTCTGAAACGTCGGTTAATTTCTACGAGACTGCACGGCCCAACGTCCCAGAAGACGTCTCCGACGCGAGAACCTGCATTCAGTCGTCGTGAAAGCTTCAATTATTAAATAAACCGTTCGGTTCCCTGTTTATATACGGAGATGTAAATTGTTATAGTCTGCACTCCATTAGCGTTCGCGTGTTTATGATTGCCTCCGAGTGGATTTGCTCTAATTCTCTGATGCCTTCAGCGTGAGCCCCCCAAATAAAGATAATAACATTTTATGAGGTGGACTTCACTCACTGCCTTTCTTTGCCTAAAAATCTTAAGAAGTTTTAGCCTTTGAGGTTAAACCCTTGTTATAATCTAGAACTGTCGCCGGGATTTCCTTTTTGCATGAATTGTGTGTAATTTTAAAGAAAAGTTTAAAAGCGGTCGGCGAAATAGGCATTATAGCTTGTCATTGGGATCTGTTTGGTGCCTAACGTCGTCAGTCAATACGCTTCGAACATCTTTTTTAAACATTGGGCTGTTGGTTCTTTGTAAAGTTTGTCTTAAGTCCATATTGGTCAGTATTGGCTAACGTGCTAAGTATGGGTTCTTGCTTTCACGTGTAAACATATTCCTATTAAAATATAACTTGCTCTAGCCTTAATGCTTTTAACCCTCTGAAACTACGCGCGTCACCTACTTTAACATGTACTGAATTTGTATTTTTACCACAAAATATGTGTTTGTGTGATTCTTACAATAAACATCGATTATTTCCTTAAACAGCGTTAACCTGTTGATATTTGTAATGGTGGAGTGTGGTGTTTTCTTCGCGGTACGGACTGAATTCTTAAGTTTCATTTGAAAGAGCTTCGGCTCCAAAGGTTAATTAGCGTTTTAGTCGTATTATTTCCTTAAACAAGGTTAACCAGTTGATCTTTGTAATGGTGAAGTGTAGTGTTTTCTTCGCGGTACGGCCCGAATTCTTAAATGTTTTTTTATTAGAACTTCGGGCTTCTGAGGGTTACGATAACTTTTTTTATCGAATTTCCCTTCTCCTGTTGAGGAAAGCCCCGAAATCTGTCGATTCCTTATCGACTTCGACTCAAATATCTGATGTCTGTAGGTGAAATGGCGACTGTAGGCTGACACAAACGGATAAATACGTGTACGTTGGACGGACGGTGTTTCTACGTGAGTGAAGGATGAAATAAATGGTTACTCGGTAAATGTGTGCACGTCCTGTGAGGGGAGAAAGTTGGACGCTGGTGGGTGGATGTTTTGTGACGGTGATCCTCACGTAGAAAGTGGCGCGTCGGGCTGGGGTTGTGATATATGTAAGAGGGTTGCAGGATGAAGTTGGGGAGTTTGAATTATTCCGTGCTTAAGTCATTGTCTGCCCATTAGTAGCATCGTTCGACCGAGACGTTCCGTCTGCCTGCGAATAATGCTAATGGCTTCTTCATCAGCTCTTTGTAACATGAATTTCAAACTGCTCCTTCCGTGTTTCCATTTTTTCGCGTAACTTTCGCCTGCGTGATGTAGGACTTCATCAGGAAGTATTTTGACCGGGAAGGTCTTGGATGTGTTCGTCGGTTTGATTTTCCGTAGTGCGTCGAAAATGAAAGGTGACTGTTTTTTGGGATGTTGCGCTGTGTATTCTGGCTGATGTCCTAGAGGTACTTACTGCTTCCATCATCAGGGCGATGATCGTCATCCTTGTAAATATAAGCCGAACGTCGCGGTTGACTTGTTTGCATTACAACTTCTTATTCGGAAAGCCTTCATTAATCATCCCGTCGTTCGACAATATAGTCTGGTCTACTGAGAGCGTCTTTAAATAAATCATAACTAAATGCAAATAAAGAACTAATAGCCTGTTCAGAATAGAACGGGTTTGTAAGGAGTCTGTCATAGTCTGAATATACTGGAGCATGAGTACCCAGGGCCTTCAGAAATGAGTATCAACGTGCGTTTGAAGTGATTATGGATGTGATCTGCTATGTCTTGTGCCAGTTGGATTTCAGATTGCCCGTCTCGTTGCTGCTTTGAGACAGATAAAAAAGACTTGAGGTACAGTTTTTTTTTAAAATAGGTCACAACTGTCTCATTCCCTGTCATCTTAATTTGTCTTGGGACTGCCCAGATCTGAGTAACCCTCAAATTCATGATTGTGCTCTGTTTTGTTGCAGTATGGATCAGACGAGTTTGGACAGGACTCGCCTCGTTACACCTCACCCAAGACAGCCAGTCTCTATGGCGACTCCTACTACATTGGTAAGTTCTGGTACCGTACTCAACCCAGAGCAATCTGTATCTGGCAGTGTTGTTAAAAGAGGGAGCGTGGTGTAATACAAATAGGGAAAATATTGAAGATTTCTGTCTTCTGCGTTGTTGCGCTGTGTAGTCTGGTCGATGTTAACCGACGTTTCAGAGGTCATACTGCCTCCGTCATCAGGGCGATGAGTATGAAGATTTCTGTCTTCTGCGTTGTTGCGCTGTGTAGTCTGGTCGATGTTAACCGACGTTTCAGAGGTCATACTGCCTCCGTCATCAGGGCGATGAGTATGAAGATTTCTGTCTTCTGCGTTGTTGCGCTGTGTAGTCTGGTCGATGTTAACCGACGTTTCAGAGGTCATACTGCCTCCGTCATCAGGGCGACAACCCATAAGACAGAAATCTTCATACTCGCCGCTGTGAAAACCTCAAATGTTACACAGGAATAATATTGTTCTAGCAACCCCCCCCCCTCCCCAAATCATTGGTTAATAGTGCTTTCTTCAGTTAATCATTCTTCAGCCCATATGACCTCATTTATCATCGGCACTGGTAAGCGAATGGCTGTGATTGGATTACAGGATCGAAATTAAGTGCATTGCGAGGATGAGTGGTGCGTTGTGCTGCTAAATTTGGCAGACTTGGCTGTGAGCCTAACCCATCTAGTTCTGGAAGATGGAATAATGGCTGTAATCTTTGTTGACTTGGGCAGTGTATTGGGGGGGGGGAGCACCTCTTTCGTAAGAAAACAAAGATTTGATGATTTCTGTGTCGGCAGTCTGTTTGTCTGCCATTCATATTCATCTACGTGTGATTGGCCATTATTCCATAGTTCTAACATGCTCTTAAGGGAGTACTTTCTTTCTGCTGAAAATAAAAATGTTTCTTTTAGGCTTACGTGTTTTGACACTGGACACGCAGTTTTATGAGAAAAAAATCTGTTTTATTAAATGTAAAGACCAGTTTAAAATCCTGGTTGTCGATGGTTGAGAGGATGTGGAAGATTTGGAAATCATCCGTATTCTTAATGGATGCATTCATCATGTGATCACAGATAAATAGTCAAATATGCAAATCAATTCTTTTGTGAATTCTTTCTGTTGTGCGTGAGTTTACACCACCGTTTAAAATATTAACATCACCTATTTTTCTTTTGGGGTGAGGGGGGGCATGGATGTACAGGGGAAAAGCTGAAATTCTTTATGTGTCGTTGGTACAACTGCAAGGCATGACACGCTTAGATGCTGAGAAGATGTTTGAACTTGCAGCATGGTAAACTTTAAAAAAATGTTGAGACTACCGGAAGACATCTTCATACTTGCTGCTATGAGAAACGTGTTTTTCGTTGTATTTCAGATGGCAGTGGCGCAGGAACAGGGGATCCCTGGTCCAGTGGGGGTCAGCTACAGTCAGGGCCCTACACGGGGTACGGTTCGTCTGCATCACTTCTCTCGGGGGCACCAGCGCCTCATCTGTCCCAAGTAGGCTTCCCCCCTCCAACCATGCACATACCACATGACCCAATGGTGAGTATGACCCAGCCAACTTTGGCGGTAATAGAAGTTCGTCGGTTTCGTGACGTCGTTGGATTTAAATTATAGGCTCAATTTTAAAATGCCTAAATGCCCATTTTATCTGCTGTTCCCCCAGAGAATGTAGTTCTCACTGCTTGGTTTCAGGGTTATGGCACCATGTCTCCTGGTGGCGGTGTACAGCAGGATCCCACGTCCTCAGTACCCACATCTCTCCTCTCCAACTCAACCACTGGTCTTCCTCCCATGTCAACTTTCCGTGGGAGTGGAGGAGGCGTGGCGGGTCCAGGTCCAGGGGGGCAGGTGACTTCAACTGGCGCTCCTGGTGTGGTCGGTGTTCCCACATCGAGCCCTGCGCAAGCCCTCTACTGTGGCAGTCATAGTCCAGCGGTCGGTGTCCCGCAATCGCAGACGTCCGGAGACACCCTCGGCAAAGCTCTGGCCTCAGTGAGTTTTGCTTTTTTAATTTGATATTTGTAATCGAGGCTTTATTACTTCGAGCTGATTTCAGGATTCTACGTCTCGATAAAGACCGGAGCAGATGTGATGATGGATCCTTCGGCTGCCATTGGTCATCCAGTCCATAGTCGGTCGCCATGACGACTGAGATCTGCTCTGTGGATTAATGTTTTTGTGTTTGGTAGTATTGGAAAGGGTTGATGTTTCTCTGTGGATAGTAGTGTAGGCTGATGATATTTCCTCTGAAGTGTAGTAGCAAGGGGGAGAGGTGCGTCAAGACACTGTCCAGATGCCCTGCCTCCCCAGAAACAGTTCAGTTTATTTGCTTCCTGTGTGCTGATATGCTGATGGATTTGTTCTACTGCTCTCACTGAGCACTTAACCTAGCTTATATTTCAGTGTTGCCAACTGAAGAGTACAGGTAATAGAGCATAATATGTGATGTAATATCTGGACCATAGAAGGAGGCTTTGGATCTGAGAACATTTATTTTAACTTCTGTTCACACTGGGACAGTTTCCATTTTGTTTCTCGGAAGCAACATTAAAATTTGTGCAGGGGATGAACAAACCAGTGGTATTTGTGATTACGCGAGTAAGTGGAATGATGTTGTAATTGAACATAACACGGAAATAATGCATGATTATCTCTGATAGATTTTGAAGAAATTTGAACTTGCTGGTATACACCAAAAGTTAGTCTTTCTAGTATAAAGTCTAATCCCCCCCCTGAAACTTTAAGTAGACTGTATTAACTTTCTCACGAACAGTTTTCACTCACTCGCACACCAAAAAAATATTAGTTTTAACGTACACTACAGACCTATCAGAACTCTCGACTTTAATTGAAAACACTTTTTCAGTTTCTTGTGTGTATATATCAAAAATACAAGGAGAAATAATTTATTACTTGTGATATATGTAGAGTTTTTATATTTGCAATAAATGAATATCACGGCCAGTGGCGTATGTAAAATAAAGAATGCATTTGAGAAACATGAGCCCTAGACCAGTGGTCCCCAACGCGGTGCCCGCCAAGGCTTTTTTTTGGGTTCCAGCGTTGTTACGGAAAGAGGTTATACTGAATAATGAAGGCCGTTCAGCCATGAACATCATAAAATCAAAGCACAGATCTCGACTTACTGACGGCCGTCTTGACGATTGTTTTCGAGCAGCAACATCATCCTATACTCCCAAATTTGAAAAACTGGCTGATGAAATGCAGCGCCAAACATCGCACTAACTTCCCACTTGAGTAATAATAATTGTACTTATAAAAGTACGTATTTTTGATTTCGCGGTTTCTTGTATCATTAAACGTCGTGTTGTTTTGCGTATTATTCGGTGTCCATATCTTATTTGTCCAGAGAAAAGAAAATTTGGCTTTGTTAATTGATTGGTGCCCGCCACTATCTCATAAACTCTCAAATGTGCCTGTAGGCACAAAAAGGTTGGGGACCATTGATCTAGACTAAATGGCACAGTCTAGAGAGTGTTGTCATTTATTAATTTCAGTACAGCGTATATCAGTTCCTTCCCTGATGCTGATATAACAGCATTGGTTCTTGTGTAACCGAAAGTAATCGGGGTAAGCTGAATGAAGATGTGTTTCAATTATCTACGAGTGCCTCGTCTGTTCTTGCAGATCTATCCGACCGACCAGAGCGTAAGCAGCTACAGTTCAAACCCGTCTACACCCGTCAGTTCACCGCCGCCCCTAACAGCCGGCGGGCCTGGAGGTGGCAGTAGCGGGGCAGGCGCATGGCCACCGAGCGGCGCGACGCCAGGGGCAGGGCCACAGCAACACAATCACACGCACCCACATGCGGCCACCCCCACCTCACCGCACTACACACCCACACCCAGCAGTGCGAGCGTAGCTGCTCCTGACCGCACGATACACATGGTAAGTGTCGGTACATGACCTGCGTATGGGTTTGGCGATTGCAAGTGTGTTGTACAGGTAGTATCTCCAGGATGCCTTATAGTGCCAGTATTTGCGTAAAATATATAAATTGAATGCACTCGTTAGATTTCACTTCTGGAACAGCTGTCGTGAGTTTCAGTGAAGTACGAGGTTGGATGTCAACAAGTTACATTTTTAAGGTTGCTACGAAATCCAAAAATCCTATAAACATTAATTTGTCCGTTGTAAGCTATGTACCACGATGTGTTGGGATGTGGAGGTGTAGCTCCATATAGTCGTAGCCTCAGCACTGGTCAGATTTATGACATCCATGAAGAACGCCAGCGCCAATTGGATGGGTGGGCCCCAGATTTGGTTTTTGACGATTGGGTGAAAAGCAAAATCTTATCTTGCCAGGAATCAAACCCCCTGAAGGAGTGACTTTTCCAGGCCTGATGTAGTATCTCTAAATTTTAATATGAAATAGTCCTTAGAATTGCATTAATTTTGTCATTCCTGTGTCGGTAAGTATTTTCTCGACGAATGATCCGAACCTGCTCGGAATAAAATTGTGGTAGAGTGACAGAACACACCTGCGGGTAGGCCCCTTTATGAGCGCTTGTTTACGCGCATAGAAGTTACTTCACGACTGGTAATAAGTTTAGTATCTTGTGATATTGCGTTCCTAATGAAGTGTCGCGTTGGCACGTCGTATGGAACGTGTGTGCGTGTTCTGCCGTGTCATGTGTATGTGTTTTGGTAGTCACTGTCTTCCCACTCTTTGTTTTCATCTGTTTAATTTTAATTTTGTTCATTTTTTCAGTCACTGTCTTGTGAGTTGAACGATATATGTGCCTGTTTCTCATTAATGGTGGTGAAGAGGGTTGGTTGTGGTCCACCCTGATTTATATGTTTTGTGTAGTTTGTGGCATTGTTCCCCACCCTCTTAATTTTTTTTGCATGGTTTGTAATTTGCTGGTTTTGTTTTTTTCTTTTTTTTTTATATATCTCTCTCTCTCTCACCTCCACTCACCTGTGCATTGCATCCCTTCCCCTCACTGTTTTCGACAACCGATCGTGTGCGATCGCCGTCGGACCGATCGCAGGCCGCCCCCGAGCAGCAGAGGTTAGATGATGCAATTGGGTTTCTGCGAGATCATGCTGAGGTAATGCAGAGTTGCTTTTTATTTGTTTATTTTAAGATGTGGTTTTTTTGACTTTTGGTTCTGCTGCGTGTCATTGGTTGATTGGGTTGTAACCTGTTGTTAAGAGGATTTTATGAAAGATCTTTGGAAACTGATATAATTCAAGTTTTAATCATTCGGAATGGTGCGATGAAGAACACATTACTCTGAATAACTCTGAACATTTCAGGCTTTGAAAAAATTGTTTATTAACTTTGTACTGTATGGTACTGTTAGAATTAATATTTATTATCATAAAAATATTTTTGATCAAACCGTTATCATGTTGTGGTGATTTAAAAATGCTCTGAGATGGTTTAATCCAAGGGTTCTTAACATTTTCTGTACCCAGGGTGAAATTCACACTCTTATATCAACTTACAGGCAGCAAGGTTATAAATAAAACCATACAACATAATAGTTTGATCCGTTGGTTCTTGGGATTGAGACGATGGCAACAATTTTTTTTTTTCTTGTTTAACAAATTTTTGTAAATTGTAACTTAATAAGCAAATTTTAATTTTTATCGAGGTCTTCCTTGATGCGCGAAGTGTAGAAATAATAAGCCTTCGCATCTCTTTTTATGCGCTCTCTGTCATAATTTGAGCACAGGCGGATAGCTTCGCCGTTCGCGTCAACTCTGACGTAAATGTTCCACCTAGGGATTAGTCAGAGTAATTCCATTTGTCTCGTAAATAGCGAGTGCAAAGGAAGTGTTGGGTCGGGCGCGCGGTAAGAATGCGTTACTTATGACGCAGGGCACGCGGATGGAGGAGAGACTCGACGATGCCATCAACGTGCTGAGAAATCATGCCGAGAGCCAGGCACTGGGTCTTCATGCCATAGCTGCCTCCAGTGCCGCCGCAGCAGCTGCTGCCAACCTACAAACACATTCCAACGGCCTGCTTGGCCCGTACCACCACACTGCGCAACCCACACTGGATTCACATCTGGTACGAGAACTTTGCAGTGTATGTTGAGAGTTGATAAATGTAGCTTTCTTTCTTTCTTTCTCACTAATTTTAGGTTTTTCTTTCAAGAGATTTGTGAATTCTCCTGATTCATTGCTAGATGGCTCTGGCAGTCAGTCAAATCAGGATTGAATAGAAATTGGGAAGTCTCTGACAGTTGTGAATGGTTTGAAGTGGCTCAGGATAGGGTCCACTGGTTAGCTTGCCTGAATTAAACAGCTGGTTATTATTAGAAATGGGAATTTATATATATTTAATCATTCTCTGATTATTTAAGTCATAGATTAAGTATCATAAAGTTTATTTCCAAATTTATATTTAGAATCTTGAATGAAGTGTTTGTCTGCATTTGATAGTGGCTTTGGCATGGCAGGAACTAACATTTAGAGCTGAATTTAAAATGTTAGAATATGTTCTTTTTGCAAAGAGATAGTTCAATTCAGCCATGCATCTGACACAGTTTAATAGACGCTAAGAATATTACTGTTATTAGTGCTATATAAATCCTTGTTATTCACCTGCAGTGAAGAAACTTTTAAATGTAAAAAAAGATAAATAAAGCAAGATTTATTGTGTTGATGTTACGTTGCAGGCCAGTCCACATCCTGGCACTCCGGGCTCAACGGTTGGAGCACCGCCAACCTCCTACCCAGGTCTTGCCCCAACACCTGATACTGACGGACCAATTAAGATTGAGAGGCTGTCTGGAACAACTGCAAGTAAGTGTTGAGTGTGCGCATGGTTGAGAATATATGCTGTTTGGGATGCTCTTTGATGTAAATGTTGGTCACATTTGATGCTTGTAAAGTGTGGGGCGTTACATTAGACATGCAGCGTGCTGTCGATGCTGGTCTCCTGGCTCATAACACCGCCGTAAAGCCGGCAGTCCCATGTCGTAGATATACGGCGCACAAAAGAACCTTACGAGCAGGAACGAGATGTTTCGTAAGCAAAATGCAGCGGACATTTCTCGCCCAAGTCTCCTGATTCACTGCTAGATGGCTCTGGCAGTCAGTTAAATCAGGATTGAGTAGAAATTGTGCAGAGTCGGTGGCCTGGTCACTCACTACTCACAAATGCTCACTTTAAAGACCAAGAAACCTCCGAATTCGAAACATCTTCCTTTTTACGGTGCAAGGTTGTTAGCCTTGCGACCAACCCCCAACCTGGAGGACCAGGGTACCTGTCTTAGTCTGACCTCTCCCCCTCGACCAATCTGGCTAGGGAGGCCCTACCAGTAGCTATGCTACCGCCAGCGTAGTAGTACATAAATGGGTGATCATATTTATGTACATTTATTGTTGCTGGAGAATTATTCAACACTTGGTGCTCCACATTGACGCAGGTTCTTGGTGTGAGAGATTTACTGTTAGCTCTGTGTTTTAACAGAGAAGCGGAAGGAGCCACCTGGACTATCTGATACGAAACCGAGCAGCAGTGACCTTGTCAGCAGTCAGGCAAGCACGGGTGCCAATACAACAGCCCCTGCCAACTCCACTTCAGGGCAGAAGGGTTCAAAGCGGTCTCGGAGATAGTAAGTTGCAGCCTTGTATGCGATTCTGTCCCACGTTGACTTCAGGCTCGGAAGAATCATTGATGAAGTACAGTTGTTACATGCACTCAGAATACTTGTGATTAAACTCGTTAAGAAAATAGAATCCTGACTGAGGCCTTTTCTTATTTTTCAGATGCTAGAATATTTCAGTAATTGGACTAGGAAGATATGACTAAAAATGATTTTTAAGGCCGCTACATGATTTAGTGTGATTCTGTTATTTGTTGTGTAAAAGTGACTTACCCTGATGGAAATATTTACTGCTAATATTTGCACTGTATAATCATGATTCTTCTGACTGTATCCACAGAGTGCTTTTTTCGTACCTTGTCTGTCGATATATAAAATACCATTTTCTTCGTCAGCAAAGCGGTATGTGTTTTAGTCTGTAACTTTTAACATGAATAACCTGCAGGATGGCAGATTTTCCCAGAGCAGCCTGTGAACTTCTGAAAGCCAGGCAATCACCGTACAAACGCCACCTTTACGATCTATTTTTTAACACGTTAACCTTTGGACTCTTTGCTTAATTTCACCACAAATTAAATTAAGGCCTGTTTTGTGTTCCACGTTGTCACTTCAGAAAACTGCATAGTGAGTACAGTACGCAGATAAAAACACAGTATAAAGATTGATTGTGCGCAAGGCTGGAAACATACGTCAGGTATGATGAAATGGGCTTATCGCTGTTGCTCTCGCTAAAATGAATTTACATAAGATCCTATAAGTGAATGTTTTTAAAATGAGGCTTTCCTGTACCAAGTTTTAATTCAGTCGAAATTCCACTTACCAAAAGCTTTTATGGTGTTTGTCAGACCTTGTGGACAAATACGAGGGTTTTTTTTTGAAACAGCGCACAGCATCTTCCATCCTCTCTCCTTAAAATTCGGTGTACGTGTCGAAAGAAAATTATTCTTGGGATGTATTTATAATTTTTATTGATAAATGTTGCTGTTGGAGATTATGAAGTATATCAAAATGGTATTTTATTATATTGATGTTTGATAATATACGTTAAGGGGAAGTAATTGATAAACCTTATTTCTAGCATTTTGCGTGGGAAAATGGTATTCAGTTTACAGTTTTATAGATCGTCACATAATGTAATATATTGAGTTTAATTTTTAAGGGCCTACTTACATTCTGGGAGGCTTATCAGAAATCTTACGGTAGTTCTAAAAGCATCGCATGATGCAGTCTTTATCGTAGCTAAAACAGGTTATCACATGACGGTCACCACTTGGATTAGAAATTGCAGTTGTGTAACATGTATTTTGAATTGAATGAGGGTTAGTATAGATTACAAACTGACAATCAGTTGGTCCTACTGTTGCTCGAGTGCTGATGAAGAGATGGAGGATCCTGGCACAAAGGCAGTGCGCGAAAAGGAGCGTCGCCAGGCAAACAACGTGCGTGAGAGGTAAGTGAGCGGTCATACTCTTAGCTTCTCCTTCTGTAGTGGCCCGTATTCAGAAATGGGATCGAGTTTGAGACTGCCCCTGTGTTTGTTAGGCTGGACACCCTGTGCTGCTCAGTTGCTAAAGTACATCTGGCAAAGATCAGTTAATTTTTCGTTATATTCTTTATAGTCATGCCAGTAAGTTACTAAGTCCTTTTAAAAAATTTCAATTGCTTAGTGTCTTCCCTTAATTTAACACTTTGTGTTGGTTATGGGGACATTATGCATGAAACTGCGTAAAGTGGGTGCCTTCCGCATAAAATCGCGCAGGCAGCCGTAACAGAACTAGTCCAAACTCGATCCAAGTTTGCGAATAGGCCGACTAGGCATGTAATGTTGGTAACCTTGTTTTTACACACTCACAACCGACACTCAAGTCACAAAGGTCATTCATTCATCACAATATTTTCACATGATTCTTTCGTACATTTGTATCGCTGTTTTTTTATACAGCGCAGTTATGTTCGCCATGAAATGATAACTGTTTTGAATTTTTCTAAATTTTTGCAGTTGGATTTTTTAAATTCTGATTGTATTATGTTTTATACAGTTGGGCCGCACCAATTTGAAGAAAAAGGGATTTGTGCAAATAAATTTATGTGATGTATTGATGAAAATTTCAGATTGTTTTCCTCACGCTTGTGCATGCGCAACTGTAATTGTGACTTGAGTGTTGCGATAGCATCAGAGCAAGAATTGCACCTTTAAGTAGTGTTCTGTTTGAATACGGGCTTCGATAGGAGGCAAGCGTTTGCGTGGTTGCTCACTCGATCTCGCTCGTTATTCCTGTCTACCATAACCTATTTTGTTTAATTATATTCTTTGTGATCCCAGTATTCTCTCATGATGGTTACTCGAATGTCTTTAGCAATTCATCCTGTCTTTCATATTCCCACATTACGTGAATGAAGAAATCTTCTGCGAGAGGGAGATATATATATATGTGTATAAAACTATGCGCATTTATGTATGTGCATATAATTTGCATAGTATTCACTATTGTACCAAAGTTTTATTTTCTTCATAAGGACTCCATACTTTTGCAAATTCCATATCTCCAAATAGACGGGGAACGTGAGAAATGCGTACAAATTTCAGCCGAGAGACCTAGGCACGGATGAGATGATGTTAAGAGGTTGGGTATTAAGAGATAATGGATTGATTTAATTTGGTTTCAATTTGGGTTAGTGATGGGCTTTTGTGTTAATGCAAGCATGATGTTTCTTGATTTAGTTATTAACTGACTAGTTTTATTCCATATATTTACATTTAAATGCGGAAGGGGTAAGTCATTTTTAATTTTGATATGTTAGGAGGACCGGGGGGTTGAAATTCAGAAGCAACCACCAGGCATAGAGGAGAAAATGAAATGTTGAGACAAGAATCTTGACTGGGAACAAACTGACCCGTGCCCAATTTTTACATAATTTTCGTCTTTCTATCTAGAGAAATGCTGAAATAGTACAGTAATTCAAACATGGGCAATAGTTTCTTGCTCACACGTCCTTCCAAACTCACTGTTTACAATATTATTGTATTCATTTGCAATCTGCTGTCAACGGAATGTTGTTAAACTGAGACACTTTTGTTATGAACAATTACATCATAGCATTGTGTTTCCTTGATTATGTGACTTATAAAAATGGATCGTGGAATATATCTGTGTGGATTGTCTATGATATTGGATATCTCACCGGGATTTCTGTGCATTATTACCGACATTATATTATATATGATGCTACGAATAAAGTTCCCTAAAGTTGCTGCTATTTTGGTGATAAGATGTTCAGACATAAAAGACTTCTGTGTAAGTGAGAGATTTCTCTTGGTGAAGATATCTTCTGGGTTGTAACACCTTGTGGACTTAAAAGTAGATACCAGTGTTTCATAAGAACGTAACTGCCTCATTGACACGTCTCGCAGGGAGACATCAAATCCATCTGTGAAATCTCAGGATAGTCAGTAACCTGCCAAGATTCAAATTAGGTAGGTACAAGTTAAAAGTTACTTCCTTAAAAATTTTAAGTGTTGTCGTCACACTTACGAGCAACGATAAATTGTGACGTTGAAGATGTTTCACATGTTAGACACTTACGAGCAACGATAAATTGTGACTTTGAAGCTGTTTCACATGTTATAACAGAAACACCAAAAATATTTTGATCTGACCCTGCCGACTTATTAAGAAATTGTTTTCGTGGCTGTATGTGGATCAGGTTTGGAAATTATTCGGTGTGCCACTGCCATTTTAATGTTGATTCTAAACATTTACCAGATCTAAATTCAGCAACTTATAGGTCTGAACAGTTTGTAAGTTAAAAGTTAAAGTTGTCGCACTATACCATAAATGTGCATTTGAAAGTAGCGGTAGAGCTCCACATATTCTTACCCTTATCAGTTTATTAAGATGAGTGGTCTGTATATGCTCTAACTGGTGTGCCCCATGGCATTACCCACTGAGCATACTCCTTGTTTCATACAGACTCTGTTTCTTGGAATTAGTAAATGCAAAGAAACTGAAATGTGTATCCAACGAGCTTAATTCCGTTGCTTGAAAGAGAGAATTTGTTTTTCGTAGAGAATAATCGGTACAAACTATGCCGGGTGTTGAATGTATTGACCTTGGCTCTAGATGGGGTGAGTGGTCAGTGTTGCAACGTGGCCACACTTTACCCAGGGGAAAGGGCCACCTGGTACCCATTGGGTAAGAGACTCTTTGGGCCCCAGAGCTGATCTGATTGCAGAGACTAGAAGAAAAAGCCTTTGCTCCTACCAGGGATTATCCATTCCATTGTCTGACATAGACCTTACTTATCTGCCCTCGTCCACAAAATATGCACGTATTTCATTTATAAGAGATTTGAGGTTCTCAGAACATTAGTATCTACGTAGGAGTCCGCACAGTGTTCCTTCCCAGAAGACCAACATTAAGTGCCCCTGCCCCGCCGTGGTCATGGTAAGCTATTAACGTGAGTGCACCAAACTTTTAAAAGAAATTATGTTGACAGCATACTGTTATATATGACATGCACATCTGGGTAAATGGGTTTGTAAGTAGCACTGCAGTTAGCGAGGTCACAGATTCGGTGTTTCGTTAGTAACTCTCGGACGATTAAAAACCACGTGTGGACTGGATTTAGCACTGTGATGTTTGGGTTGGAAGGAGAGGAATTGAAATGTAAGAACAGGATACTTTAATTTGAGATTCTGTTAGATTTTGTTTATATTGTGCTGTTTTGCTTCGAGCGTTCAGAAACATACATTGGTGCTAATATGTAGAAGTAAGATCATGTCATATTAATTTTAAATGAAAAATTTGGAAGAATGTGAGGGGAAGCCATAATAATAATAATAATAATAGCCTGTGTAAATGTACTGTCTCAGCATTTTCCTGAAGTGACTGAAGGAAACTATGAAAAATTTTAGCATCT